TTTTTTTTTTTTTTTTTTTTTTTTTTTTCTTCCAGATACGTCGAGCCGAAAAGGTACTCGTCTAATGGCAGAGATATGACGGTCGTTCTGAAACGAGCAACGAACAGCCCCACCGACGAGGAATACATGGACGTCTCTTATTACTTCCACGATGGTAAGCCGACTATCTCTCACGTCTTTTCAACAACACGACCGCGAACGTATATAAAAGTATCGAGGGGTTCTCAGCAGACGTTCTCAATGGAATCATTGCCAGTTTTCCAGTCTTAATGGGTAATAGGTTTACGTATGTTGCCTTTGGCAATACGTAAATGGTTTACGGTTATGATAGTAGGCTTCTCTTATCAGTTTCTTTCTTATGGGTGAAAATTGAACGACGAAAATTCATTACCTTTTGTCATTTTTTAACATTAGATAATTCTAAACAATTAACAAATTTTAAAATTCCAAGTATAATTAGAGAATTAGAGGAGAAATTGGAAATGGAAACCGCGATATTTATATTAAACGAATTTTTCATTTTTCGTTTAGTACGAGGAACGTGTAGCAGTAATCAGCATCGATTGTTCGATTAAACGAGTAATATCAAAGAGACTGATTACCTCACGATTCATATGTTAATAGAAATCCTGTTCCCGCGAAATTTACGATTTACGATTAATTCAATCTCGTTCTTCTTTCTCCCGATATCAGATGATTAATAAAGATTTTTTCTTTTTTCTTTTTCTTTAATTGAACGAGTCACTTAAAAAAATTTCTCGTCCGTGTTTCGAAAGGAATTAAGAAACGTATACACGCGTCAATTATTTTGGCTCCGATTCTTCTTGGCCGAGGTTTCAACGGCCAAGTACTTCGGCCTTGCTACTAATTACCAACGACTAATTACAGCCATTGCGAGCCGACATATCGGACGGGGCGAACCCCCTTAATCGGATGAATATAGATGCGTCCATGCGCACGGTAATCCGGAAGTCCTGATTGGAACGTGGCCAAGAACTATCCATAAGGATAGCATTTAGCGATCGTTGTGCACGAATCGTCGAAATAACGTTAAAAAAGAGAGAGAGAGAGAGAGAAAGGAAAATCTTGTAAACCTTGAGATTAAGATAGGATATTTTAATAATGCAATCGCATAAAAGGGCTGTTGTGAATTAATCGGAATTTTTTTTCTTCTCGTCGAGAAAGCACAAGTATTCTTGCAAGTTTCCTTTTCTATATAGATATTCCTTCGTTCAACGGGATAAGGCTGTTAGATGCATTTATTCTTAGGTCGGGGTGAAAAAAAAGAGACGAACCCATCGAATTCGATCGAACGACCATGAATTTTTTATTATTCGTCTCGATTGTCGACGTTTTCTCTTTCCTATTCCCGTGGAAAATTTCTTTCTCTTAAGATGACGAAGGACCGTAAAAACCTTTTAAATTAATTAATTTAAAAATGTTAAAAAAATTTATAATCGAGATGAATTTTTTACAATTCTTTATGATGATGAAAGGAATATGTAGAGATGGAAAATATATCTCTTTTTACTGCTTACATAGTTTTATTAATTTCGAACAGGAAAAGGAAAGGAATTAACGTACGTTTAATGTAACGTTTAAATTATTGAAAACTGTTAAAACTGTATCCATTGGCGACTACTTTTACGATTAATAATTTCCCGTTAGGTTCTTTTAACCGAAAAAAAGAGGATGGAAGATCTCAAAGCATTATCCTATCTTTATCATGTATTAAAGATAAGAGGTTCTGACGTAATACTCTACATCCCCTTTGTCATGTATGCTATCTTGGCAACAAAACGCTTGGAACAAGATATTTTCACATGAATTTTCTTCTCTTTAAATATCGTCTAAAAAGTAACGAAACGTATCTCGTTCGAGATCCGATGAAAAAAGATTCATTTACTTTTCCAAGAAATTCATTGGAAGAGAGGAAGGAGATATTCACGCGAGATTCAATATCGTCGACAAAGAGACGGGAAGCAAAGATGTGAAATTAAATTTCGATCGCGTACACCTAATAAACGGAACAGAAAACTAATGCTCGAATTGAAATTTTTGTATGGAAAATTAATCGAAAAGAAACGAAGATCGAAGAGCAGAGGCCGTCCATTACACATCCATTACACCGATTTTATTCGTCTTTATGAGGTGTCCGTCAAATCGATAATCCAGCATCTGAATTTATCGCGTGTCGCGGTACGGAAAAAGCCAATCATCTGAAAAATCACCCACGCAGACGCGATTAATGATAAACGATGAGAACGCGTCAGATTTTCCGATGGATATTTAATAAAATCTTATTCTCGTAGTATCGTGAAACACGATTAATCGTATTGAAACTGATAAGTTTGAAAAGTATCCAAATAAGAAAAGTAGAATGTGTATTTTTCGCATATTTTTTTTCATGGAAAATATAAATATAAAATTGGAAGAGAATTCGTTTTACAAAATTTAACCATTAACGAAATTTTAAATGAATCGTAAATTATGAATATTCAGTAGTCGTTAAATAGTAGAACAAATTCGAATAGTATTAACGTTAATTTTCTGCGTCCAACATATTATTATCTATTAATAATTTCAAATATTACTAAAATAAATTTTACAATTTTCATAAATTATCAATCTGTTGAATCTTTAACCAGAGATCCTCAAGAAATCCTCCAAGTAGTATTGGTGTTACTTTTCTGCGCCCAAACATACCATTATCTATAATAATTAATAACAATCAAATATTCATAATTAATCAAATCATTATCAAATCAAATATTTGATCATCATTAATCAAATATTACTAAAATAAATTTTATACTTTTCATAAATTATCAATCTGTGGAATCTTTAACCAGAGATCCTCAAGAAATCCTCCAAGTAGTATTGGTGTTAATTTTCTGCGCCCAAGGATCTACTACTTAAACGAATAATTCCTAACA